GGCGCAAGAGCAGCAGTGGATGAGCAGAACGAGGCGCAGGGGCTGACGATGCATGTAAAGGTGGTGCGATAGGGAGTAGAAGTGGAAGTGGAAGTGGAAGTGGAAGTGAGGAGGCGTGGTGTGATGAGGAGGGAGGCAGAGGAGAGTAATGGCGCGGAGTATGAGGATGGGAAAGCGGCTGCCTTCGCCCGCGTCTCCGAGACTAAGGATGCGCCAAGAAAGGTCTCGACATCCGCAACGAGCGCTCGCACTTGCCCTCGGCAGAGGAAGCGCAAGAGGAGCAGTGTATGGGCAGAGCGAGTCGGAGGGGAGTGTGGGGGTACGATAGGAATTGGAAGTGAAGAGGCGGAGGACGATATCGGGGCGCGGCGGACTACGAGGACGAGGAAGCAGCTGGCTTCGCCCATCCGCACCGCAATCCAATGTGCTAGTCGCCGTCATCGAGCGAATCACACGTCCACCTCGCACGTCCTCCCCAAAGAACAAACGCCACAAAGGCCCCCGCCGCAAAACAGAGAAAACCACCGTCGTGAAGCACCACGCCGCCGTAGAATAAAAGGCAAGAACGACTCACCCCATCGCCTCCAACTCCTCCTCCCGCATACGCATGAACGCCTTCCCCCCAACATTGCTGCGCGCCGCCCACGCGCCCGCCTCGGGCGAGATCGTGCGGTCGAGATGCGCCGCCAGCTGCGCAGGGGTCCATCGTTTTGGGGACGGGCCTATGTGTAGAATCGTGTTAGCTGTGAAGTAGTATGCGGAGCAAGGGAGGAAGGAAGGGAAGGAATGAATGGAACGCACCCCCAGCATACGCACTCCACCCGCCCTTCCTCGCCGCCTCCTTCGCAGCGATGCTGTTCGCGCTGACACCAGGCGGGACAGGGAGCGCACGCGGGCCATTCACGTTCCCGCCCCCCGAGCTCTCCCCGTACGCGCGTGTGTTGTCCTCGCTGTTGCTCAAGCTCCGGCTGTACCTATGCCCCCTGTACTCCGTCCTGCGCTCCCTCCCCGCGCCCGCGCCGTCCTTGGTGTTGTTAGATGCAGTCTGGGTGATGCGTGCGTGGGTGGGCGACGCCCCGGGGCTGGGCGGGACGTAGTGGTGCCGCCCGCCGTTGCCGGCGGAGGGGGAGGAGAGCGAGTTGGAGCGCGTGAGGACGCCGGTGGCGGTGGTCGCTATTGGGTAGGGGTGGGCGTTTGGGCGCAGGTCGGTGAGGGAGGGGGAGGAGGGGAAGGGGGAGGGTGAGGATGGTAGATAGGCGTCGTGTTTGGTGGGGGAGCGGGAGCGCGAGTGGGAGTGCGGGGGGCGTTGGGGGGAGGCGACGGTGGCCATTGTGTGCGGAGATTGAGGACTGCAGCGGATGATGAGGAGGTGAGATGATGTAGTTATTTATGCGCAGAGGGGCGTCGTCGCACCTCGAAAATTGGGGGGAGTTTCAGGAGGACGTCAGAGTCTTGGTAGTTGCTAGTGTTCGAGGATTCTGCTGTGGGGGGTATGAGCAATGGACTCGGTTTCCAGCGACTTTAGACTGCGCACCGACAAAGAACGAGGCTTGTTTAGTACTTGTTTCTTTCGGGCTTTTGAAGCGGTTTCGAGCGCGGTCTCAACCCTGCTATCCGAGAACCAGTTGTGGAGATGTAGTGTGGCCAGAAACGACGACTTTTGTGCCCAATATTGTCGACTTTTCCAGCGATTCCTAGGCCGTTCGGAGAGCTCTCAGTGCCAAACAGAGACCCAAGGCGGGTGTAAAGTATCAAAATTCCGGTTCCGGGCAGTTATTGGCGGCGAACTGCGGCGACACGTCCAGGGAAGCAGGGCCAAGTGAGTGGGAGAGGAGAAGCGCCTGCAGCCGAAAGGGGAAACCGGACTATGCCGGTGGTGTCGTGATGCCGGTTTACGCCGAGTCTCACGGTTCAGTCGTGGAGTTGGTCTGGTTGCAAACCAGTCTTCCCGATATTTATTCAACCCTTCTTGCGACGCGATGCGCCCCAGTTCCTCGAGTATATTGCACAGACGAGCATAGTACCGCACAAGCCCCGTGGAATATTACGTCCAGACTGGTCTCGTACAAGTCGACAAAGGTTCGAATCCTCGGCGGGGCTTACGAATGGCAGGTTGTTTTTGGTCTCTTGTTTTTCTACTGTTGGTCAAATTTGCAGCCACCGAACATGCAATTTCCTTCCACACCCACCTGTATCGAAGCACCATAGGGAGTACTAACGGAATTCTCACCATTTAACGTAGGACTGAGGCTCACCTGCAAGCCCTGGTTGATCAAGGTAGATCGTGCCGGTGCCGTCAGCTATCTTTCGTGTGCTTGTTACAACGGCAAGCCAGAGGTTCGATTCCTCCTCAGTGCATAGTGTAGAAGGTAGGGGATTGCTTTTTGCTTTATCTCCCAGGTCCCAGTAAACAAATTTCGCGCGGAATGGGTTTAGTCTGAGCCAGAATGGAATGGAATAAATGATTGTGAACAAGTCCTTATGGATCTCCAAGGTCCCAGCTGTTCGTGGATGACGAGGACTTGCTACCAAGTTTTTGCCAGCTCAAACTCTTGGATTGCGTTGACACCTCCTCTCCTCCCGCCAAAACACTACTTACTACCACTCATAGGCCCTGGTTGATCACGGTAGATCATGCCTGTCCTGTAGGACTTCTCATTGATTACACAATTACACAAAGGCAAGCCGGAGGTTCGAATCCTCCCCAGGGCATGAGCGCGCGCGCGTATATTCAAATTTTTCCTGGTGTTGGGAGTAAACAAATCAAGCGCTGTGGAATCCGTCGAGTGGGAATGGGATGGAATCATCAGGAATGAGTCCCAAGTCCGAGGTTTACTTGAATCTTCTCTGGCGCCTGAAACAAGCTTTTACCGACCAAGTGGAACTTAAGAGCTGGACTAATATATTGACGCCGCAAGGATACTACTACTCAAAAGCCCTGGTCGATTGAGGTAGATCATGCCTGTCGCGTGGAAGTAGTACAACAAACGAGGTACGAGATTACTGTTGTAGCGTCTGTTTATAAGAGACTATGGAAGTAGTTCATTGTTTGATTGGAAAGGCAACTCGGAGGTTCGAATCCTCTCCAGGGCATTGAGCTCGGCAGATGCAATCTTTTTCCTGGCTTTCGGAATACATCAATCGCTCTGGAATCCGCATAGACAGATGTCCAACTCCAAGGTGTTGATTTGTTTTTCCGGGGGTAAGATACAAGATACATTCTACTAAGGTAGACGACACTCAAATACGACCCAGTGTTGTCCGAGTTAAGTCAAGGGCTTGACAAAACGTCAAGGGTCTTGACGTTGTGGGGACTTTGACGCGTCAATCAAACGATCTGAACCGGTCAAGCGCTGGTTAAGGCTGACCAAATGTGCTGACCCTTTGTTTTTTAAAAAACGGAACGATCGGGAGATTCCGGGTTTTAACTCGGCGACTTCGGACCGTGGCCAAGCGGGCGTCAAGCTAAACCCGTCAAGGCTGAACACATTCGATAACTATTCGTCAAACGCCCGTCAAACGCCGTCAAGGACAACACTGATACGACCAACGTTCCAAATCGGGACAAATCACCGAAATAAATTCACCAGATAATTATGAGGCAAACTTGTGGAAATCCAGCTCCAACAATTTGTGTGCAAAGGCCTTGTGCATGGCTCCAGACATTTCCGTTTTTTTGTTCTACACCACAGGAAAAGTTTAAGCAGATTCAATGCCGATTCCTTTGCCATCACAGAAAATTTCCCACATTGATGCCCACTTTTGCTACTGCTTAAACTCAGTCAGTTTTGATTTTGGCATGAAGTGGTGTGATCCAGCACTACTTAAGCACCATATCTACAATTTGTTGGGAAGGGATAAGGACTGTTTCGTCTCAAAATTATCTAGCAAATTTATTTCGGCAATTTGTCCCGATTTGGAACGTTGGTCGTATTTGAGTGTCGTCTACCTTAGTTCTGGACGCGTTATCTTCCTCCCCCCCCCCAAATATACTAACCCTTTAAATTGGAATCTCTACTCCCCAAGAACTTCAGCCCATCTCGCGCATCCTGAACACGATGGGAAGCTCTCGTTGACCACACCCCGGCACCGTTCAAGGGAAAAAGCACAAGGCAGGATGAGGGGGTTCGAATCCTCCTGGGGCAATAACTGTTCGGTTTCTATCCTGTTTTTCTTGTCTCTGTGCACTTCAAGGATGGGGTCGGGCCGCTCAGCTTCCAGTAACCGAGCTGAGATGACCACGGTTGCATGCTGAAATCCAGCCAAAGTCGGGTGGAATTAATTCCAAGGCGGGAGTTCGTACAGGCTTCCGTGAGAGCCTAGCGCAAATATTGAAAGCCTACAGGCTTTTAGTCTCGACAACCGCCGCCAAACCTCGAGCAGGGAGAAAACACAAACCACCGACCTCTCGTGACACCGTTTCCCACGGTTCAAAACGAGGGTTGAAATCTTGGTTCGAACTTGAAAATGAATATCTTGGCGGCGTTTGAAGCTCGAAGCCTTGGTTTTATGATATGTACATTGACTCTGAGCTCAAATCGGATCTATCAGAGAGGCAATATCTTCTCGCAGAACCACATTACAATCGAAGCAGTAAGAATTTGAACTCCCGGTCACTCTCCTGTCGAGCTTTGTAGGTGGTCAAAGAAGGTCCAGTCGCGGATGGTCCGCAGTCCCCCAATTTCATATGTTCCTTTTACCCTGAGTGGGGCTTTGTTAGTTCGAATCTAGCCTGGGCCATTCATTGTGTTCTCCGTTACCCTTTTGCATTCCATGGTATCGCGCAACTTAATATGGACCTGTCGAGGGCCAGCAAGCAATTGAACAAAGCTTCAGTTCTGCAATTTGTACAATATCATGTGCAAAATGATTCCGTTCTTGGGAGCGATGCTCGTTCGAATCGAGCCTGGACCATGCTTGGAAGACTTGTATGCTTCCTTCTGTGGATCCAAGGAACCGTGCCATGGGATATTGAGCTTAGGAAAGAAATAGTCATACCAGGTTCAGTAGCGGGTGGTCCGCGCCCACAGATATTAGGTCGCATCCGAACCCGTGTTCAGTGGGAGGTCGCTTGTTCGAATCAAGCTTGAACCATGCCTCGTCAATCACACCGTCTTTTTCGTTTGCCTGGCAAGCCGTCGCGCACAAAAAAAAATGCTGTCTATCAAGGTCAGCAAGGAGTTGAACACGGCTCAGTTTAGTCTCTTATAAACAGACGCTACAACAGTAATCTCGTACCTCGTTTGTTGTAGTCTGTCGATTCCCTTGTTCCGTTGATGGGAGGGCGGCGCTATTATATAATCACGGATTTCGCGGTGTTCAGTTTGAGACTCACGACGCGTATTTCATAAATTTTATACCTCAGTCATACTCCGAGAAGACCTTTCGAGACCATGGCAAAGTCTGATTTTTGACTCGAGTCCGGGAGCGCAATGCCGATGTTTGATGGTGCTGCCGCTGACCAAGCCCCGTTTGCCTTCTGCAGTTAATACGGGGAGCGGGGAGGGCTCAAAGAGCTCAGAGGCTAAGTATACTTGCGTAAAGTCAATTTGGGCTGCTAGTTGTGGTAAATATAGTTGGTGGTGTATCGAATGGTGGGAGGCGCAAATTCAAACTCCGATGATTATATAATAAGGGGACCCTCCCTACATTGATGCGCGGTTAACACCGGACTAGGCTCAGTTGCGGACGGCTCGCCCCACCAAATTTGGCGGGATGCCAGCGATCCAGTAGCAGTACGCTCGTTCGAATCAAGCCTGGACCATTGTCCTCAGGGGTCAGGGAGAGCTTTTAAGTATATTGATAAGGTAGGGAGCAGACATATTCCGTTGCACTTTGGTTTCACCCAGTAGTTATTACTAGTGAGAGCGCGCCCAAGGTCAGCAGCGTCGCTAGTAATGGGAAGACGTGAAAGAGTTCAACTCAAACTTCGACCAACGGCGGCGGAACACCCCGGCTTACCGACGGATCCAAGGATGTCAATAAAGCGAAGAAGCGTCAGCCATTATATTGCAAGGTCGACCCTCGGCGGGGCGCGTCAAGTTCAACTATTCAGAGTTGAACATTATCCGGCTCGCTGGGGGTGAGGCGCCTTTCCTCAATCAACTCCGATAACTTCTACAAACCAGAAGACTTGGGGCGAGTTATCTGGTAAGACTTGAAACCCTCTCTGGTTTCTGTGACAGTGCCGCCTGAAACAAGCAGAACCCAACTTGTTTCGCACCTGGAAGCAACTTCAATGGAATGTTGAAAAAAGGAGTCAAAAAATTCCAGGACGCTCAGCGGATCTGCAACAAAAATCATCTTCTTCTCCCATGGGCTGCGGTAATTACGCTAGCTTTGCAGGACGACTATAAGGCATTGGAGGACCCGTTTCTGCAATGTCCACAAAACTTCGTGAACGCCGGATATATTACATAACTGCCCTGCAATGCAAACACGCGCAAGCAACGCCTCTTTGCCTCTGTGGATGAACCAGTTCTTTGGGTGGTGTTCAAGACTTCCGCCTGCGCGAGCACGGTCAGTTATCCATCGAAAATACATTCCGTGTGTCTCACCAGGGATAAATAGCACAACGACGCGACTGCCGACTGATGCTGCGCTGGCGCGCCACTTCAAGCTTTCCTGCCGAAATGACGCGTTTTCTCGTGCGTATTCGGTCAAAATGCGAACTAATCACAGGTAGGCTCAATACCATCCTCTCAAATCCATGCGTTTCATTCTTCCTGCGCAGAAACGCCCTCATCTCGTCTCTGCGTTGGGAGAACCTCAAGTCTTCCGACTACGTTGACTTGTCGGGCCTTTCGACGTCATGTCTGGCCTTCAGTTCACGGGGGCGCGATGTAGCCTGCTACTACAGGAACTCCCACGGAAGAGAGCTTTTCCCGGACTCTGCGCGGGGGTATCTGTACTATCGTACGTCTCCACTGTCGCTGGCGGGCTCAATTCGCCTGCGCGTCGATACCGACAATGCCAACGGCCACGACCTCCTCCTTCCCTCGGGGCTCCCCTGGCAGATCGGGCTGCCTCAACTTGTTCAGCGTAAACAATACCAGAGCCTCTTCCTCAAGCTCCTCAAGGAAAAACTGGTGACTCACCCCGAGGTCCGGGCATGCAGGAGACTCTTTCCCGAGGCGCAGTTGTATCCGTCAGCTATCCTATTCAGCCTTGACCAGCTGTTCAGTATCTCAATGCAGCAGGCGGACCTGCGCTTAATTATTGTTGGATTCCGCCAGGCGGCGATATATAGACGACATCGACGCGGTCTCTTCGTCAAGCAGAATATTTTCGGGGATCCCTCGCCGCGGTATCCTTTCAAAGGTGAGCTCGTGCCGCGAGCTACTTTTCAGCGTCAGTCTTTAATCAGAACTCCGTGTCAACAGGCCGAATTCTTGCGCGCTTCGAATTATCCGCCGACAAGAGGCGCGTGTTCATGCGCATCGTGAAAATCGTCGAGCCAATCGTTTGCCTTGAGCCTGGATACGATGGCCGAGTCGTCGCTCCTGAGGAGGGAGGACTGCTCTCATACAACTCATACCGGGGGGTACGGTGCCCAGCACCAACTCCCTGGTCGCTCAGCATGGACGAAGAAACAACATCTGTATCTGCAGAGGGCCTTCGGCTTCTAATTTAATTCCACCGTCCAACTAATGATACTTCCATTCGTGGCCACTCGCTAACCAACGCCCGTGCCCTTCCTGGCCGGACCACCTCGCATGGAGTTCTTCCTAGGCTCTCAGGGTCGTTCATGGATCAGGCGCTTCCTGTCCTATCCCAGCGCCGTTCCTACTGCCTTTTCCTCTTCGCTCTTCCCGGCGATGCCCCTCCCTTCTCCGAATTCGACGCCCTGTCGCTTTTGCCCACGAAGACGACAAACAACATGTCGGATATGCGCAAGCCCACTCTGCCCTGTATTTATTATGTGTAATTGGTCACCGCCCCTTGGACGCCGGCCTGCACCATTCCATGCCCTGCTCATACGTTATTCGTGGGGTGGCTGGCTCGCATGCCTGATCATCGGTCACCCGAGCGGGAAGCGGCGGAGATTCATAGTCGCCAGGGCGCGAAGCGCGCCGGAGACCACAAGGACGAAATGCAGGACCATGTGACGCCTTCGCGTTGCAGACCAACCCCTTGCGCATAGTCCTAGCGCTGGATCGGTGGACCTTCTTCGCCTCGTACGATTGCGTACGTCTTGTTCCGGAGCCCGAGGGTGGGCTGAATGCGATGGTATGTATTCTTGTTATCTATCGCGCGGAGTTGCACTCCGACTATTTGCGTTGCGTTCACTTCCGGGAGACTAGCTACCACCACTTCCGCGCCGAGTGACACCGCAAGCCCCGCACGGAGCGTTCGCCGCGTATCTATCTATACGATCGTCGAGCGTCACGCTCGCGCCGGCGTTAGGTGATTCTCGCGCACCGATGAGCAGTGTCTATGATGTACATTGGCTCTCGCGCCATGATGGGGCGGTGGTTCTCGTGCGATTGGGCACGGTCTTCGACACATTCGTCCCAATTCATGTGGGCTAGGCCTACCAGGGGTCGTTAATATGGATATGGGGTTCTCTTAACGAGGATATCCATTTCCCGGTTGAGGAGGATACCCTTCTTCGCGTCTGAGGTTGCTCCTGTCATGTCCCCTGCTGATCCTGTCTAGACGTCCAGCGAACCAACTAGAATGGAGGCTGACTTTCTAGCTTTATCGCAGCCAGACTTGAAGCTCGCGCGCGCCACCCACTACCCCACGCACGGGTGCTTGTCACGGTCGAGGTACGCCGTGGATACTCGCTGCGATGCACAAACTAAAGTTAACACAGGTCTCCATTCGCTGATCATTTTGGGGTGGACGTCCGGAACCAGAATCAGAACAAGTGGGTGACTGAGGAGAGGGGTGCATCGAATGAAGATGACTGACTGGCCCGGGTAGCTTACGCCATCCCACGAGGGTGTCAATCTACCGTGGCTTCGCGGCAGAGCTTCCCGCGCTGTGGATGGTGCGAGGTCCTCCCCCCTCTCTCTCCTAGAAATCCGGCATGGCTGGGTCGGACTATTCCTGTGCCACCGAACCGACCATCGCTAGTCCGAAACAAACTCTGCGACCGTGGAACCAAACTTGAAGACCTGGGCACAACCTGGGCACCAAGAACAGGGCTCGACATCCAGGCCAGTTTAATTGGCCCCATCGTTCCATCGTTTCATTCCTTCTCATGACCATTTATCTTCCTTACATACTCTACACTCCCAGACGACCCTCGGATTCCGTATCCCCTCGTCGATGTCAATGTGTGTACGCATTCATTAAATTTAAACATCCCCATCCGAGTCCAATCTAACACGAACCTCCCTTCCCTCCTTCAATTGAGGAATGTCTTTCCCCGAATCTTTGCCGGCGAACCGGTGTACGCAAGCGCCCTTTCGATCGGCGAGAAGGAAGAAGGAAGGAGGGAGAAGGGAGAAGACCGGTGGTGGGTCCCTCGGTGAGCCTATGCATGCTATGATGTTGCTCGCAGCCTAGCTATAGCTCATGATTTGCCCAGTGAAACGTTGTTGTTGCTAATAGTGTGTATGAAGCAGGGCTCCAGGGGCCGGGTGTGCGGGTATGCACCCGGGATTCATCTTGTTCTTTGGATTAAATTTCCAGTTGCGCCTCGGCTTTGAGCGCGAGGAAATGGAAGGACGATTAAGGGGCGACGACTCCGGGTGAGTGGGCACTACCTCAAGGGGTTTGTGGTGGGTGCTGAACTAACCTGTAGCTCGGACGCGCAGTGCCTTGCGGAGTGACAGCGACGGATGTTAGCCCGATATTCGGCCCAGGGTCCACGAGATTGGGGAACACCGGTCGTTCGTCCCACCTACCAGAAATCCGAATCACCTCGGTCAGCGAACCCTCGCCAGCATCCATCTATTCTAGCGAGGCCCGCGGTGGCCCATGTCTCTAGTTTCACTACGCGTATCCTTCGAATTAAATTCGACGGGATCCAAATTCATTGAATCGGGGATCGTGGGTGGGGCAGACGCACGACGTCGTCTCACCTCATTATGCATGCGCGCTAGTTCGTTAAACTAAGGTCAAGATGCCTATTTGGCAGCACT